GGGGGGGGATCTCAGGCAGCTCAGTGTGGGGGGAACTCAGGCTGCTCAGTGTGGGGGAACTCAGGCTGTTCAGTGGGGGGAACTCAGGCTGCTCAGTGGGGGAGGGGGGAACTCAGGCTCTGACCAGAACAGGAGACAGCATTTGCAGGGCGAACTGATCATTTTATAGCAAGAGAATCCTGTGTTAGTTCAATTTTAAGTATTTTGCAAGTTTCATAAAGAAATAACTGGAGATCTATGCACCTTAACCAATTACAACATGCTTTCGAGTTTCTGAGTTAGGTTTAAAGTCAGTTTTTCTGTCAGTCACTGAGTTGGAAGCAAGGTAGGCTCATATTAATCCATCTCAATGTCTTAAATGAGGTGTCTCAACTCATGAATATTCATGTAAAGTAATATAAACCAAAAAGCATGACGCTTACATGTGGATGTTGTAATTAAAAGGGCTTCCTAATTTGTCCTAAAATATTATAGTATATTAACATGACCAGGCAGTTGTTGCCACCTAGGTGCTCACTTAGGGGTCTTAAGGAGGGTGTCTGCTGTCAGCCAGTCAGGTAGCTGCAAGCTTTGCTGTATTTCCCTCTTTATTGAAAATAGAGCTTTTCTCGTAGAACATCCTGACTGTGGTTCCTCCTCCTCCTCCTCCTCCTCCTCCTCCTCCTCCTCCTCCTCCTCCTCCTCCTCTTTCTCCTCATCCTCCCCCTCGTCCTCCCCCTCGTCCTCCCCCTCCTCCCAGGTTCTCTCCACCTCCCCTCATCTATATCTATCTGCCCCCTTTTGTCTCTTATTACAAAACAAACAGGCTGCTAAGGAATAATAATATAATGTAATGTAATATAATTTGACAAAGAAAAGCTAACATACAGGAACAGAACAAAGCCCAATGGAAGGAAAAGGGCCAGTGACAGAGATGTGCAAACAGAGACCTACTCTCTCCCCGTACACAGGAATCTCCTAAAAACACTAAACTGGAAGCTATCATATATATGCAAAGGACTTGTAGTGTAAAAAGAAAGAAACATATAAACAATTGAAGTAAAAATTAAAAACGAGATACAACTTTTAAAAGCCATGACACATTTTGAGACAAAGAACCTCCAAAGATGCTTTTGAATTCCTGTTGGTCATTTACTGCTCTATATCTAGTCCGCCCTTAAGAGTAGCTTGTTTCCCTATGGAATCCCAGCGGAGAAAACGAAATTTCCATTTGCAAGTGGTTATCCACTGGAGAGAGCTTGTGGGTTAGGGATGGGACCATGTGTCTACTTGCCCCTTCAGCTCTAGGACCCCATCTGGTGCAGCCCCGTGCAGGCCCTGTGTCTGTGAGATCATAGGTGTATCGCCCCTATTGATCCTCCACCCCCTCTGTCTCTTCCATTCTTTCTGCATCTTCCTCCACAAGGTTCCGTGTGCCGTGAGAGGAGGGATTTGATAGAGACACCCCCTTTAAGGTCCAGTGTTCTGAGATGTTTCTGTGGCTGTCTGTAATTCTAATTCTTCCAGCTGCAGCAAGGGGAAGCGTCTCTGATGGTGGCTGAGCTGGGGACTGGTCTTGGCCAGCATCTGTTTTCTTTCTTTTTAAAATTTGTGTCTATTCATTGTCCATGTATTGAGTTTCATGAAGGCATTTTCATATAAACACGTGATGAGTTTTAAGCATATGAGACTTTAAAAAATCAGACTCCAAAGGTCCTTTCCAGAATCTTAGTCTGGTACTCCGGCATATCTCATTTTCCCCTTTGTGCCTTGTCTTACCCTCTCAGCTTAACGTGCGTGGTGCCTTACAGGAGTCTGAGTGTACGTTTAGTCATTGAGTCATAAAGAAGTCAAATAGTAAGGAAATGGTCTGCACATCTCTGCACCATGTTTCCTAACAAGACTTTGACATGTCTCTCTTTTATTTTAAAGCAACCTGCCAGTTCCAAGGACGGAGCTACTTTGAAGGAGACAGGAACACAGTCTACTCATCTTCTGGAATGTGTGTCTTGTATGAATGCAAGGTAAGCTGGCTCTCCGGACCCTCCCAGAATCACCCGATTATGTGAACACTGCGAATGTTTCCTAACAAACATCCCCCCCCCGTCCCCCCGAAACCACATTCCTTTCAAATCCTAACTCAAAGAGAAAGTGGGACTCACAGTGACAGTTCAGATAGGAACACATTTCCATGATCTTTTCAAGCATGTAAGCTACTTGTTATGAAACAATTTTGCAACAAAGGAAAACAGTTACTTAGTCAAATCAGTTTTATGAAACTGAAAAGTTTCTAGTTCAGTCAAGTCCTTGCTAGTTCTTGTGAGGACAAAGGAAGAGGGGATAGAGTCCACTTGTTCTCTCTCGTGACCTTGACTCTGGTGAGACACATCACTCAGCTAACTGGAAAATAAAACACGAAGTGATCTAGGAAACATTAATTGTCGTACAGAGATATTATCAATATTGATTTTAAACGAATCCCTGAAGCAAATACTGTAGATTGTCTCTGTCCTGTGGAAGTTGGCTTGAAATACAGCAATGCAAAGCACACAAGGCTAAACCAAGGCCTACAGAGAGCACGTGAAGAGCCACAGGAAATGGGGTTGGCTTTCCTGGTACAAGGTCAAAGAGCAAGTGAGCACAGGAAAACACCACACCAGTCAAAGCTGGTTTGAACTTTTCCACTTAAATATCCCTTGTGTGTGGATTTGACAACCCATAGATCACATATAGCATTACAATTAAATACAAATAATTTAATCTGATTGTATCAATAAACTACTAGTTATAGAATGAAGGGCTGGGGAAAAGAAAGTCCTGAGGGTTTTTCCAGGATACATGAGATTTCAAAGGAGGTCCATTTCATGCACACTCGTCAGAGAATGTGTGAGGGTAAGCCAATTAGAGATGCTAAGAGGTAGACCTATGTCAGGAGGGACATGGGCTGTGGATTCTTGTCTTTATAGTGTACCTGGGAGGCTCTTTTTATTTATGATTTGCATCCCTATGATGTGGTTCCTCTCTTAAAGATAAGAGAATCAAGTCATAGGACTGTGCCCACAAACCACGGCCTCCTATCTCCAGATGAGACCTCTTCCCGGTATCCCCGCCCCATGCTATCCCATTGGGGCAAGCCTCACAGTGGAGCCTGATTTGGGGTCTGCTCTAGTCATTCCAAAACAAGAAAAGGGAACTATAAAAAAATGCAGTTTGAAGCAGACAGACACCTTCTGGTTGGTCTCTACATGTGACCTCTAATTCCGAATTATACACTGCATATTTGAACCACTGAGGGCACTTGATGTCTCTTAGTGTTTGGAGGTTTGATAACATGGATGGAACATATTTGCTAGCAGAGTTGCTTACCTGATACTAAATGTGCTATAGGATAACTTCTTTTAAATGAGCCCACTAAGAGGTCTGGATATAGACAACACTGCAAGTACTCAGTGTTCATTAGGTGAGTGGTGCCCTCTGTTTTCTAACACAAGATCATATCTCCTCTGGTCTCAGCTCCGGGATATCCAACAGGAGCACGAGGCACAAAGATGGTTTGTTGAGTTCAATTTTTGGTATTTAGTCCGTGTATCTAAAAGATCATTCAACTTGAAATCTTTAAAATAATTAATGGGATACATTTTTCCATTCTTTTAGCAATATCTTCAAAATAGTGTATATTATAATGTTGAAGAGCACGTGTAGCTGCTGGCTGTGGACTGGACGGCATAGCCCTGTCGAATAATCCTGCTTTTGTGATTCTTGACTAAATTCTTGGCATTAAGTCTCTCCATTGTCTCCTCCTTCTTCAGGCCCCTTAGCTTCTGTGTTCCAAACTTTATGTAACTGACAGAGTTGTCATGTTTCCATCATCTGTACTATTAATTCCAGTGTTTTTTGTTTGTTTGTTTTATTATTAGTCTTGCAGACTTGAAAATATGTTCCAGGGGCGTTGGCTTTAATAGGTGCATAGAACCATGTCATGCTTTTGAACTTAAGAGCACCAGAGCCGACATGACTTCGGTAGCAAAGGAAGGCTAGTGCCGGAGTACGGTTTATACGCGGCTTCTGCTGCATTCTTGAAGAGACAGTATAATTTGCATATATAAGCCAGGAAAAGCAACTATTGAAATGTGTATTTCCTCACGAAAGAGGTTCTCAGCAATGGTATAAAAAAGAAAACTATTGAGCCGCAGATAAAATGGCAGCCTGTAACCCCGAGACTTCCCTTCACTTCCACACTGGCAGCAGATGGAGCACTGTCAGCATCCTTGTTGATGATCAGAGACACAGTACAGAAGGAGCAAAGTGCTTGTTCCGGGGCACGGCCACTCCAGGTGTTCAAAAAGTAACTCCTATTCCGCTGTCTCCCAAGAGAACTTCATCTATTTGTTTACTAGAACATGCTGCTGTTGGTGTTACATTTATTTTTTTCATTCAAGATTCCAACTGTGTGCCAGAAAAATATCCTTAAATATTGGCTGGCACGACACACATTTGACTCTCATTTTCATGGTAGTTTTGTGCAAGAACATTGATATTCTTTACAAATTCATCTGTAAGTCAGAAAACGTTTCTCTCACTTCTTCACTCCCTCTCTCTCTCCCTCTCATTCCCCCCTCCTCTCCTCTCTCTCCCTGTCTCTCTTTGTCTCTCTGTCTCTGTCTGTCTCTGTCCGTCTCTGTCTCTCTCTTTCTCTCTCTCTGTCTCTCTGTCTCTCTGTCTCTCTGTCTCTCTGTCTCTCTTTCTCTCTCTCTCTCTCTCTCTCACACACACACACACACACACAGAAGGGGGGAAGGCAGACAGACGGACAGACAGACAGACAGACAGACATATATTGGGTCTCATCGTGTAGCCCTCACAGGCTTGGATCTTACTGTGTAGACCAGGCTGATCGTGATGTCACAGAGTTCTGCCACCTCCCAAATGACAGATATGTACCACAACCCCAGCAAGACTCTTCTTAACAGAATTTTGAAGCAACCTCATACAAAAATCCAACATAATTTTGCTGGTTTGACATGTGTTGAATTCAGAGTGTGCTGTCACTGAAATCCAAGCTCTGTCTTTGCTTATGCTTGTCACTATATTTAGAAATCTGTTGGAGAACTAACACACATTTCCAGGGTTACGTAGGTGTCCGAGTGTTGCTGGCCTGGCTTCTGTGTGTTGGGCTCTGTCACCCAGGGCTGTTGGCTCTCTGTGAAAGCTTGCCAGATGAGATTTAGTGCCGTAGGTATAACTCAATGGCCCAGGCAGAGGTCTTCTGACGGTAACTCTGCGGTCAAGTTCTAACTACGAAACGGCAGACATCTCTTTTCTGTTGTCCAATAGGATCAGACCATGAAGCTTGTTGAGAACGTTGGCTGCCCACCTTTAGATTGTCCCGAGTCTCATCAGATCGCCTTGTCTCACAGCTGCTGCAAGGTTTGTAAAGGTAAGCCTTTGGTGAAGTAATATCACTCTCAGGCAAGGACATGGGTGCAAGTGGAGGAAGTTATGTTAAATGACACAAACTGGAGTCAGAAAGACACCTGCCACATGCTTAAACTTACCCACGGGAGTTAAAAAGTACATATCACCAAAGGAGGAACAGCATAGTGGTTACTAGATCCCAGGAAGGCACAGAGAATGGACGGTGGAGAAAGATGGCTGACAGACCCAGGGGTACAGGTGGATGGGAAGAATGATTTCTGTCTTCTGTGGCTCAGTACGATCTGTGTGGATTACAATTAACTGTGTATTTCCAATTTCCTAATGGAAAGGGCTTGGAGCATTCCTACCACAAAAAAAAAAAAAAATGGAATATGTCTGAGATGATATATATGCCAATTACCCTACTCAAACCATTATGTATTATATGCATCTACTGAAATGTCATAAGCTATCCCATAATACACACAATTACTAGATGCCAATTAAAAACAAAAACATGTCAAAAGATTTATATACAAGAGTTTTTTTGTAGGAGGATAATATAACTGATATGCATGAGAAATTTTGATGAATTAATTCCAAAGGTTAACAACATTTTACCTGAATTTGTAACACAGTGGGAGGCCCTGAGCCCTTTGTTGAACTATAACAGAGATGCTCTCAGGCACTTTTGCCATATGTCTGTGCCTGTCTCTGGATCTGACCCCTAAACCTGAGTCAGCTTACCATTGCTGGAGACAGTTATCCTTCGATAGGTTCACTCTCCTTTCTCCTCGGTCTGTTTCTCCAGCTGACCTACATGCAGAAACAGACTGCACAAGATTTCCTGCTTGCATCAGGTCCACTCTGAACCATGCATTGGCTTCACAGCTACAGAGAAGACAGGCTTCATAGATGTGAACCACTTCTTTTCTGTTGCCTCTGATGGGATAAGGCCTAGACTTATAACCATATGGTTATAACCATAACTACCCCCGTCGTAGAGTTTTAGTTCACTGAATGCAAACAGCAAAAGTATTCACAGATGTAATGGCTACCTCAGGAGGCAGTGAGGTGCCCTCTCTAGAGGTTCTTAAACATGTTGGTTCAAGCATTAAAGTTAAGCAATGATTATACAGACTCCTTAAGACCTTGTCACCTATGAAACCATGAGACCTGTGCTGTGTCAACCTGAGGTTATACATGTGCGTGTCCACCTCTCGCCTCAGGCTGTGCCCTTCAGGGAAGAACTGAGTCTTTGTATTCATCTCTGTACCTTAACACTGGAGTGATGTCTGGAGTGTAGTCAATGTTCACAGGGACATATTTAGAATAGAGTAACCATCCCAGGCGCAGTGTGCACATAATAGAGACAGCGCTCTTCATGCTGATGTGAAGTGCAGCTTACAAAGGAAAAGGTAAATATACACGTTGGAAAATGTGTACCATTTTGTTTCCGTTGAAGTTACTCCATTACCAGGAAGGGGGGCAGCATTTGAAAAGTAAATAAAAAATAGATCAATTTAATAATAAAAAATAGATGAAAACTTATTCCTGCCCCTGTTTTGCACAGTGCTGGGCATTTTGTTTCCATCTTTATTTCGTTGTGTTCTGTTCACACTCAACTCTAATCATCAAATGAAAAGTTTTAGTTTTTTAACATTGTTATTTGTTGTCCATGTGAGCATACGTGTGCAGGCCACAGTGCACCAGTGAGTGGAGGCCAGAGCACACTTGCAGGAATTGTGAAATGTCAGTGAAATGCATTTTAAGAAACACGATCCTAATTTAGTTACTTAAAAAGAAAGGAATAAAATGGCCCTCCAGGAAAGGTTTGCATTTTTAAATTTAAATTGTGTAAATTTTTCTCTTGAGAATTTTGCTTCCAAATATTGAGTCTTAATCCTGAGACGTTATATTGTGAAGAGAAGTCAACTTTCTAAGCGATTAAAGGGGTATTAGTAACTCTATTTTTGTCTTTATGCGTTTATAACTTTTAAAATGATTTTATAGCATTCACTCTCCACTTGGTATTTCTCTACCTCCTTTGAACGACAGACACTTCCTGTGTCTCAGATCCATTGGCTATCTTAAGGTTTGTTAAGGTGCACCAGTAATGTTTCGTTGAAAGTTGTAGTTGAGTTCAATGTAACTCTGCAGTGCTACTGAAAATGCTCCAGGCAGTGAGTGATGAGTGTGACCCAGCGGGTAAAAGTGGGCACCGACTTCATTACACATAAGGAGGGCCCATTGAGATTTTTCTCAACTGTATGTCACTCCTATCTATATAGACAGAAGCTTATTTTAAGACCTTCTTGCCCTCTGATAGATGGGATAAAACTGTAAATCGGCAGGCAGCTTGAAGTTCTCGCAGTAAAGTATGCATTAGGCAATTTAAAAATTTGTCAGATGACCCACAATCATGTAATCCCCGTTTAAGATGGATTCCACCACTCAGGATTCCCATCCCAGCATTTCAGATATCATTGAACAGGGGGTTTCAATAGAAGAAAGAAATCCTTAGGGTCGGTGGCATGTGATTGGCGTCACTGTTTCTAAAAGTTCCATTTTTCTTTCTCATCAAAAAGACTCTGGGATCTGTGAAAATCCTGTTACTCATAAAAACTTTCTTCTTTTGGGTGGTTATAGACTGCCATGCACATCTTCGGACAAAATTAGATTAAAGTGATGTAATTTTCATTTTGAACAATTCCAAAATGCCCAATCTTCTTCATCCCTTAAATATTGTCGGGCACATTTCTCTCTGGCCTGGACGTTAAAGGATTGATAATGTGTGTTGCCATGTGTTAGCACCTTCACTGGAACATTCATTTTGAACTCAGTGAATCCTTGTTTCAAGTATGCAGAGAGCTACAGTAGGATGACTAAGGGCTGGGTAGCATTTATAAAGTCAATAACAAAAAAGATATAAATGCATTTGAAGTAGAAATTAATTGAATCAAACAAACATAAAGAACATTTTGTTTTTATCAGCAAATCATAGCAGCTGTGGGTGCCTGCCCTAGGTCTGCACAATAACGGACATGGCCATAGCCAGGCATAGATGGAAGAGGGGCTCAGGGGCCTTCTCCTTATGGAAGCCATTTGCTCAGGGACCAAGGGAGATTCAGGGATTCAGGGAGAAGCGAGGCTCTGTCTTCAGTTGTGTGGCCACTGGTAACCACACACACAGACGGTCCTGGTTAAAGAAAGTGGGTCATAAAACCAACAGTCATGAATCTGAGGGACTGGTGGTGGGCATGGTAGACAGAAAAGGGGGGACAGGTGACATGGGTAATCAGAATATATAATATACATGTGTTAAATTGTCAAGTAATAACCTAGTAAGTCTTTAGAGTACATAGCTTCAAAATTAACTACTCTTTCTTTTTTGTTTTTCTTTTGTTTGTTTGTTTGAGGCAGAGTATTTCTATGTAATATTGTGTAGCACTGGCTGTCCTGGAACTCACTTTGTAGCACAGGCTGGCTTCAAACTCAGAGATTCTTCTGTCTGCCTCTCTCTCTCTCTCTCTCTCTCTCTCTCTCTCTCTCCCTCCCTCCCTCCCCTCCCCTCCCCTCCCCTCCCCTCCTCTCCCCTCTCCTTCTTTCCCTTCTTTTAATTCTGGTTTGTTTGTTTTTTCTTTGCCTGTCATTTACTTTCTAAAGAGAGGAAGAGATAGATGGAAAGGTGGGAAGATCTGGGAGGAATTGGGTGTGTGTGTGCAGGGAACCATGATCAGAATATATTGTATGAAAAAAGGTTTTTCAAGAAAAAAAGAAAAAAGAAAAATAAACCAAGGGCACTATGGAGCAGATTGCTGTGTCACAGTCTTATTTACCCGAATATCTTCTTCTTCAGGTTATGACTTCTGTTCTGAGAAGCATACCTGCATGGAGAACTCCGTCTGCAGGAACCTGAACGACAGGGCCGTGTGCAGCTGCCGGGATGGCTTCCGGGCTCTCCGGGAGGACAACGCCTACTGCGAAGGTAATCCTTAGTCTCATGTGTAGCTTGGCTGGCTGTAGAAATCCGTTGGGACTACTGCATGTAAAATTTATTAATTTCCCAGGTTGTCAAGTTGATGGGCCCATTAAAAGCAGTGAGTTTAATCTGAAGCATATTAATCAGCTAAAAATAATTATCTTTCAAATTAGAGTTTTTCAGCTATCTGCTAATAAGCTAATGTGGCCATTCCTCGGATTAGAACAATGTCTCCACTGTGAAATTGCCTTCTCCATTTCATAATTAGATATTCAGGTAGCTCACATAGTGACATGATCGCCATGGCCTGTAGTACGAATCACAGTTGGACTTTTCTAGACACCGCTGTGTAACAAAGGTGGTCAATGACCAGGAAGATGAAGTGTCTACTGCTACTTTCCTTTGCTGCTGTTTGTAACCTCAGTGATCATTTGCCTGCTCTATTTTACTTAGCAAATAGACACAATAGAAAATATCATTTCTTGCTTATTTGAAAAAAACCCCTATATTCAAGGTAGTTTGCTGTCTCATAGAGATGATGCAAATACAGTGAGTAGGCCATGTAGTTTGTTTGGCTCTAGCTGTGCTCCTGTAGACTGGCAAAGTCCCTGTGATGCTGGAATTTACCCTTCCGAGGTGCTTCTATGTAAACCTAAACCATCCATGGGTTAATGTATGGCCAAAGGAGAACACTGATCTGAGGGCATTGGGTATTTGGGGGACTTAGAGGCTCCATTTTACCCCTGAAGCTTTCAAGCTCACACCACAGGTCACTAGAGGTAGAGAGTGTGTGGCAACAACAGCCTCCGTTCATTCCTTTGAGAACTGGCTGTTTCCCTTGGAATTAGGTAGATTTTCTCTATATGAGAATTGGTATTCATTTTTTAAAGCTGCCTTTGGATCAAGTATTTCTTTCAGTGCTTCTTATTCATCCCTGAAGGGACCCTTCCATTTACGAAGAAGGAAGGATTCATGGCTTTCCACCCCATTAATAATGCAAATTTATTTAAAGTTATTTTTAACAGATCTTAAGTTAGGATGGATTTTTACTTTGTGATTTTTTTTTCTTAGTGAACATAGAGTTGAGTTTTCTTAGCAAAGTTATCTATTTTCATCATAATAGTTACGTACCCTCACATGTAATGAGCTCTCCTGGCATTATTAACATGCACATGTATGTAACCAGAGATACAAACATATGTAACCAATGATGCAAACACATATGTCTTTTCGAACATAGATTTTCTGATCATTTCTTTAGCTGATTTTTTTTGTTAACTGTATGCACTTACATAACAAATACTCAGTGAGCATTCAGTATCTAGCAAGCACTTTTCTATGCCCTGGGCAGTAAATGGTGAGCAAAATGATTAAGCTTGCATGCTCAGAAACTTTACATTCTAGGAGGAGGAGAACAGAGTAAGCTGGTAACCATGGAGAGGATAATTGTATGGTAGAAAATCACCACAGGAAGGAAGTGAAACAGATGGTGGGCTGGAAGTGACAGGGGATTCATGGGAGTGGGATGCTCAGCCTTTGAAGTGGCTGTCCCTCCCTCAGGTCTCTGGATGACAAGGAAAAGACTTAGAAAGACTTGGGACAGTGCATTCCAACTAGAAGGAACAGAGTGTGGAAAAGTCCTAGGTAAAAGCAAACTTGGAACGCTCCAGAGACAGAGAGGAAAATGATGTAATGGTAAGAGGGATGGGGCTTTGGTTGGACAATTAGTAGGGCCAGCAGATGTCAGTGGCTTGTAAGGACGTCAGGCCATGGTTTCACTTAGATGTTCTTGTACTTACATGGGACTGATAATGAACTGCTGCCATCGTGGGAAAGGAACTGTATATTCACAGAGAGACCAGGGAAAGGCTGCTGTAGAAGTTTCAGCGAAGATGTCCTGGCCTCAGTCAGAACAGTGACAGGCGGTGATGAGGGCGAGCACATTCACAGTGAATCTTCAGAGCAAGAGCCATGCGGATGGTTTATAACGGTGTAGGCCTGACAAAGGGCTCTAGGAGAGTCAGAATTTGGAAGTTAAGCAACACATAGATACTGTTATCATTTATAGAGATGGGCCACAGTCTAAGAAGCTAGAGATATGAAGACATTCTTTGTTTAAATTGTTTCTAATTTTGTTCCCCTGCAAGTTTGTATCCACATGTAGATGTTCCCATCTTGAATGTATCATGCTGAGATGTTTATTAACCTTGTTCTTGGCCATTTGAAGATGTATCTCTCAAAACTTGAGAAAATGATGGAAGGATGTTGGAACCTTGAAATTTTTATACATGTGGGCATCTAAGTCTTTTGTAATTTTGGCTATTCACACAGTATTGGTCTATGAGGGAAAGGGTCTTTTGATGCTACTTTGAGGCATGGTCTCATGTATCTCCAGTCTGGCCTTAACGTCCCTCTATAGGATGACCCTGAACTTCTGGTATTATATGCCACTACCAACCTAAGCTCTGATATTACAAGTGTAGTCTTGTGATACCACATCTGGTTTATACAGTCCTTGAAATCAAAACCATGAACTCTTTCACTTTAAGTAAGCCCTATGCCAACAGAGCAACATCCTCAGCATTTTGAGACATATTCTCTGCTTTAAAAAATATATTTTAACTATGTATCTATCCATCTACCTATCCATCCATCCATGCATGCATCTATCTATCTATCTATCTATCAATCAATCATATATATATATATGCATATATATATATATATATATGATATACATTTTTTGGTTCCTTGATATTACATTTCTAAAGCTAACCTTGCAAGGTCTATTCCCTTATTTGGCTACTGTGCATGTGTGTGTATGTATATATGTATATATGTGTATATATATATATATATATATATATATATATATATATATAATTTGTGTGTGTGAGTGTGTGTCACATACTTATATATACATATGTGCCAGTGCGTATGTGGAGGTTAGAGAACAATTTATATGAGTTGGTTTTATGCTTCAGGACCTGTGGGTCCTGATAAACACCTTTACCGACTGAGCCATCTTGCCAGCCCACCTTGGCAATACTCTCATTAAATTCGCCTTCTGTTTTTATGCTAGCATTGTTGCTAACTGTTGATTGCTTTGAATTTTTAGACACAATCCATATGTTAAATGTTGATGTGGTATTACATGATACTTATCAGCCTCTAGTTTGCTAGAGCCTTGTCCCTGTAAAAAAACAAAATAGATTTCTACACTAAAAGTAAGAGAATGATAGTTTGTTAGTGACATAAATTTTATTCCCTAAATCTGTGAGGTTGTTTTAATGCTACAGCTATAATTGTGGTTATTGATTTTGACTGTAGTGTGCCTGTTCAGCACTCCTACAGCATCAGTAAATGTTAAAGTTGATTTATTCACCGCACCTACATTTATTGAATGCCTCTCTTGTACAAGGTTAGTGCTAAATGTGATGCCACATGTGGTGATGCACATGGCTGATACTATCTCAGGCAAAGAAGACAACAAATCCATTATTAAATAACATTTTACCAACACGTGACAAGTACCCTGAAAGATGAATAGACTACCTAGGAGCCTAACTAGGAAATGTTGGGATTCAGAAAATCTTGTGCAGAGTTTAATTCTGAAACGTGAAGGGTGAGTGAGACCAGCTAGCCTTAGATGGGATAGAAGGATTCTCCTGTGTGGAAGAGCCAGGCTTCTTGGGGGGACAGAAGCACTTTAGGAGATTAAAGGGCAGCCCATGTGAGACAGAGAGAAGAGGAAGCCATGTTTATGAGAGGCAGGATGAGATGTGGAGCATTGGATATCAAAGGCTGCCGTATCCATCTTCTTATCTGGTCACTGGGATTCACCACCTGGCAACAGCACCTTAAAGAGAGAGAATGATGTTTACAGTCCTCCTCCAGTCCTCCACATAGTGCAGGCTTGAGGGAAAGCAGGGGGATGGGGTGTCAGTGTTGACCAGCAGGAATGTGGAGCAGCTGCTACATGGTGTAGCCAGTCAGGAAGCAGAGACAGCACAAGAAGCAGTGTATGAACCTTAAGCTTCTCTCTATCGGTGACCTGCTTGATGCATGTAGGATCCCCATCCCAGAGGTTACACAACCTCCCCAAACAGAGATGTCCTCTGGAGACAAAGTCAAGGGCCCTAGCAGGTCTGAGCATGGCAAACACAGCCCTGGGCATGGCAAACGTGGCACTGGCAGGCTTTCACCCCCCCCCCTTTTCCTCTCCCTCGCTAAACCTTGAGATTCCATTTCTAAAGCTAACCACCAAGGTCTGTTCCCTTACTTGGCCACTTTGTATTGCCTGACTCATTCCTGAGGCTGATCATCAAGGTCCAGCTATCAAAATATCAAGGTCCAGCCATCAAATTTCATTACTTTGACTGTCCTAATTAACTTCCCAGCCCATCCTAGCTCACTCTGACACATTTTCCCTCTTAAAATTAACACTTGGCGGAGCCGTTTGCTGCTGTTTCTGCCTGCCTCAGATTCAGCATGTGGCACACTTGATCATATCATGAGGCAGGAGGGAGACTCATACCAGATGTGAGCAGGTGTCGGTGCCCTGCTCTAGGTACTTCACAGATCCCCAGAAGGGCAAGGCAACACAACATCTTCTCTTTCCCTTGCCTAATAAGGGATCTCTTTGTGTTTAGTTTGCCCTTGGAAATCACTATTTGGTGTGTGGTCTGTGCCTAATCTGAGGTCTAGAGAGAGCACCCCACAGTACGTGGGTACCTTCACAGAATGTTCCAGCACTTGAACCTGTGAGAGACATTTCATATTCAAACTATGACAGAGTGTTGTTGAGGCACAGAGGTCTTGGTCACCTGTTTTAAGGAAATCACTTCAGCTGCAAGGCGGAGGTGGAGAAAGCAGCTGGGAACTGGCGGTGATTAAATGCCAATGGAAAGATGGAGACACTTCAGAGGTAAAACTACCAGGTTCTGAGGATTCTGGTGATAGCGGACAAGGAAGAAGGTGTGGAAGTTGATCCCCTGGTTTTGAGT